TATATATATATATATATAGGTATTATGTATTTATTATATGATACACATGTGTAATATACATGTATATTAGTGTACATTTGGTCATTGAACTTTTTTTACTATTCTAGTATTATATTAATAGATAAATAGTAAACAAACGTTCTTTGTCTCGTTATTGATTCTACATGAAGACATTGGTAGCGGAAACGGGCAGAAAGTATCAATTTATGGTTTATATATACCGCGCTACACGTTTCTGTCCACGTGAATTAAATTTATTCAATATCAGAATATCGGCCAGTTGATTTCTCGCAAGTTAGATATCAAGCTGATATGTGCAGTTAGTATTATATCTTGAATGTTATGCTTTTATCGAGACATGATAACGTTAAAATAATCCATTTCTTCCTATTTCTACACGTGTATAATTATTATAGTCATTTTTGTAATATAAATAAATCAGAATACTATTAAAATTTCTTATTGATCAATTTTTAAACATACATATAGATACATATATTTTCTATATGTCAGTTTACAAATTCTAGCCCTTAAGATTTTAGCTAATAAAATTGTCCTAGGAAAAAATAAAATTTAGATACTCTATTATATGTATGTAGAAATATGTAATCATAGAAAGTAAAAATAAATTTATACGCACACATGCGCGCGCACATACATATAATACATCTTTCGTTGTTACGTACGTGATCATCAAAATGTCCATCAGAACTAATTTCTTGCAATTCTCTTGATGCAGATAATGTATGTAAGTATTTTTAGTTTGGGATCAAATAGTGCTGTCCTGGGCACTGTAGCACGTATTGATTTTCAAAAATACATTTTCTCTCAGGTACATCCACCTCTCGATCAATGGAGATAAGTTCAGTGTGACCGAAGTATAATTAGTTTTCAAGATCTGCGAGCTGGGGAGAGAGAGAGAGAGAGAAAAAAGAAGGAAAATTGGTCGGAAAAAGAATGAGAATACAGCACTTCCAGAATATTATATTAAAATTATATTTTTAGATATTTGGTTTACGAGACCATCGTGATCTAATTGCTACAATTGTGTCCGATGTATAATTGGAACCATATGCAATGAAATATTAAAAACTGCGCACGATATCGCACTGATGCAATGTAATTATAGTGAATAATCAATACAATACCATCAAAAGAGTGTCAATTGATGACGATTTATAAGATACGAGATAAAAAAAAAGAAATTATATTTAGTAATTGATACCTATACACATAATACAACAATTCAATCAAGAGAGGAAATATTAGATACATATTATTATTGCGTTTTTTTCTCAGTCCTTTTAATAATATCATATACATACAACATTTAAAGTTGCTAAATAAAGAATTAACTTCAGATAAAATATATATGTTATTTTTTTTTAAACGTCACGTATATGTATTTCTCTTGTGTAATATCTACGTAAAATAAAATACAATGTTACATTTATTTTTCAAAATTAAGCTGATTTAGATAAAATTTTAATAAGATAATCGTGAAAAATCTGCTGATATATCTCAGACAATGTGTTTGTTACTATCCTTTTTCAACTAATAAATGTTCTTTTTGAAATTTCGGAATAGAAGACTAAATTTCCGTCGTATTTTGTTTATTTCCATTAGCGTTGTGCAACTCTGCATGATTCTACATAGCTTTCTTTCGACTCTCTCGACATCCTCAGCACACTCGGCATCACACGGATTCTCATGTGGACGGCTGGCGGGGCATGCGCGTATTCCCACGTTCACCTGGGGAGGGTATAAAAGATCGCGGGTCGAGCGCAACGGACTCAGTTTAATCTCGTGAGTAACACGTAATTATCTTGGCGAGAAGAAGAAGCGATCTCGACTTTTACCAATCGATCGATCGAGAAAGATAAATATAGCGTAATTGTGCTGCAACACAGCGGCGGAAATCAAGTTTGGAATTGCGGAAATATTCGAGTAAAATAAGTGTTTATCTGTGTATGAAAGTCTATCTCGATCTCGACTTCGAGATAGTCCACTTCCACACAGTCTACGCGTGGAAAGTGTGAATAAACACCCTGAAACAATCTGCGCAGGTGTCTATCTGTAGTCCTTTATTGTGAGATATCTCATTATTTTATGTATAGAAACGTGTGATATCAAGCAACACCAGTTAAATGACATGGAGGAGCCCGCGCAATTGACTGATTTGAGCGATCACCGACAGCATCGATACCATTATCATCATCATCATCATCACCATTATCATCATCATCATCATCATCATCATCATCGAGGTAGAACGCCCGTGGGTGAAATCGGTGACGACGAGTGCAGCACCGACAGTGGCTGTAGCAGCGGCGGAAGTACCGGAAGTGGCGAACGTCTGTCGCGACGCGGTAGCGGTGAACGTTTATGCAGATCCAGTAGATCTCCGAGAACGCATTGCTACTCTGAGAGGCTGCGAGGACGAACGACACGATCACAGGAACGGCTTAGTACCAGCGTGCAGAGATCGTCGGAGCGCACTTGGAGCCCTCCCGAAGACGTCGGAAGTCTACCTCGTGGTGGTATCTCACCCTCATCGTATTCCTCCAGTCCTTCGGATGCTCACAGCAGCAGCGATAGCGACTCCCTTAAGAGGCCCTCCACAACGGAGACTCTACGACGGGCCTTTCAAAGTCTCAAGATTACCTCATCCAAATGGGATGGGAACAGCAAGGAGAAGAAGCACGCGAAGAAGAGCCCGAAGAGGATTTTGCGTAGCCCAGTGCCCTATATTTATGTCCGAGGACCATCCGGTCTACCCACTCAAAGGATTCCCCGAAACTCTGGTTTTCAGCAGCAAACTGTACAGCCGTGTTCCTGCCAAGACCTATAATCGATCACTATCGGTAGTATAGATGTCGATACATCGCTGGGCGAATTTTAAAACATCAGGAATATTATAGGAATATCAGGAATTACGCAGGACCAAGAAAAACTTTTTAGTTTCCTCTATCAGAGGAAACTAAAAAGTTAAGGATAAAATGCCTAATCAAACGGCGCCTTTTGATCATCGTGCTTACGATATATAGTAGATATACATATCTCGTTTGTACGTCTCATCGACAAGACACGTTATCTTTACAAATTCCGCATTCGCGCGTGAATTATATAGGGATAATAATATATATCGATGAACTTTCTAAGCTTTTTTCTGGGTTCGTTTTTCCTTTTTTTTCACTCGGAATCGTTTATTCGATTATATTTCACGTACGATTTACTCGTGACATTTCTCGAGGCATATAAGGTTTTTCTCTTTTAAGTAGTACAAGTCAAGCGTAACGTCGACTCACACGTGAATTCGCTCGAATCAGCGAAACAAACGATTAAAAAGGCAAAAGGAAGACGTATAGAGAGAGAGAGAGAGAGAGAGAGAGAGAGAGAGAGAGAGAGAGAGAGAGAGATGACGTTAAATTAAATATACACACAATTATCATATTAGTTGCAGATGATCCTCGATACCGGACACAGAGAAATTATTTACGTACATTAAAGTGACAAAATGATAAATGTAAAAAAGAATATATCTATGCTCGATCTTATTATTTTCTAGTATATTAATAGTTTTGAATTAGAATATGAAAAGAATAAGATCAACTTTTGTGTGTTTAGGATCGTCTGTATGATAATTTCTAATATTATCTTTTATCTTTTTATTAAAAACTTTGCCACAGAGAGCTGCGTTTATTAAAATTAAAATACTTGTCACGATATGTGCACATGTAGAGAACTACAGTTATGTAACTCAATTAGATACACTTCTCTCTAGTCTGTGATTAATGTTCTTTAATTAAACGCATGCAGGAGTTCACGATGTACGAACGTACAGACTGATAGATTTAATGTACATTAATTCGCGTATTGTTATTTATCAATGAATTTACGTAAGATTTTATCAACTACATACACGGTACCATTATTTTTATTGTAATTTCTAATAAGAACTTAATAGAACAACTCTTTAATAAGAAACGAGAAATTATGACATAATATTAACAATAACTGTGTATATTGCAAAAAGATATTAAACTATGTGATATGCTGGAAAACGAAATGCATTCAAAGTTTTCAAGGCTAAAAGGTTTTCATCACCAAGGATAAAATCGTACAATTGAGTGCTATTAATACATTCTAAGAGAAAAAGTCGAGCAAACGATATCAGGAGACGCGGTAGTGTCTCAAAAACTGAAAGACACTACAAGTCTTATCCCGAGCCACCAAAGTCCATTTTTCGGGGGTGCATAATTACTAAAATATTTTGAATCGAACGTTATATGTCTTGAAAGGCGGCATCCCCACGAGTAATTTGAGTCAAAAAATGTTTTAATCGGTCAAGCCGTTCTGGAGATACAAGCGGTCGAAAAGTGATGATTTTCTTCTCTGTCCGCATTCAAGGCCATATTAAAACTTTCTAACATTCCTTCTCACCTTTCATTCACACCTTCACCATCTTCGACCCACCGCACTCCCTCTCCCACCCCTTTTTAAATCATTTTTTTACATATATATTCGTGATATATTTGTACTCTAAAAAGTAAGTGATATTCGAAAAAAATCATATCATAAAAATGAAAAATTTAAGCCATGCGTTCAAATAAGAATACTCAAAATTTGAACCTTTTTATCTAATAATAATATATTATCACGAAAAGTAACTGATATATTGTTAATTAAAGGTGCCAGTACAAAGTGAACATACATAAAGTGTATGTAACTTTTGGCCGATTTTCAAATCGCCTTCGCCTTCCGCTGTCCCCCTCATCTCATCGCGCGTGGTTCAAATGCCGCACGACGCTCGAGCAACATTTGATCTACGCAAGGGACGGTGAGGTGAGGGGAACAGCGAAAGGCGGAAGCAATTCGAAAATCAACCAAAAGTTACATACACTTTATGTATGTTCACTTTGTATTGACACCTTTAATTAATGATATATCAGTTACTTTTCATGGTAATATATTATTATTAGATAAAAAGGTTTAAATTTTTGAGTATCCTCTTTTGAACATGGTTTGTACTTTTTATTTTTATATTTTATGATATGATTTTTTCGTATATTTATTTCTCGTTCCTTTATTCATCGTCAATCACGCAATGATAATGTGTACTCATACCTTTATCGGCACTAAAAGCCACGCTTAATTTATTAATCGCGTGATAAAAGTCAATTATACCAACCTGTAAAATTGGTGTGTCCAAATTATTTCAGGTCCAAAAGGATACTGCCCTTAATAACTCGTACATGATAAGTATGGATCATCCTATACGTACAAAGGAAATTAATCATTTGCGTGAAAATATTGTTCATCTCTCTCAATTGCGTAAAAGAAAAAATTCTTTACTAACGTATTCAAGAATCGGTATTATTTACATAGAAAAAATATATAGATACACTTTATAAGAATTATCATCGACGGATATCTTTGGAAGATAGTAAGCGATACATATCACTATATTGACACACTGTTTCCCTAACACTTGTATAGCTTTCAACATGTTAATGAACAAAGTTGATATCAAAAGAAATGGGGTGTCCATTTAATTTTTTTTTTTAGAAAATTGAAATTACGTATTATTGAATATGTAAAAAGAATACTTATCTCAAATAATATTTATTTTTAAAATTTTTATCTTATTTCCATATTTTAATTTCCATTTAATTTAATTTCAAGTCTAACTGAAATTTTTTCTATGTTCTCAAATCTACTTCCCTTTAAATCTGTCGAAATTTATATGAAACTTACAATGTAAAACAAGTAACTGATCGTCAAGACTATTAGTTAACAATTAACATGTTGTTTCTTCCCACGATGACATAACTCAGATGAGGTACATTGGTATAGATTACATCGTACACTTTATCGAAGGAAAATACAATGAGAGTGTATGTGATGAAATCTTCCACAACTGGTACAGACTGACTAATCTCAAAATATCGAAAAAATTTGATGTTAATTGATGGAAAGAAAAGAGCGAAACTATGATTAAAAAAAATTCGTGGTTTATATGAGAGAAAAAAGAGATGACGAAAAATACGTGCGCGCGCATACACATTCCTTGAGAGTCTCGTCTATAAAGAATGTCTGTGCGATTCATCTCTAGTGCCTTGTAGATACCCCCAAGCGTGTCTGTACGATTAGGGATTAGGCGTTATCGATAGGCGAAAAGGCGAGAAAATCAACAGGAACAAAATTATATCCGCCACAGTCGTGAGGGTCATATATGCATGCTATATGATGTAATATGATGATGTAATCGCGCAGAATATAATCGTCACGCGTCGTGTGAAAGTGTTGCAATAAGAAAGATCCGTTACTCAGGACTAAATGTTTTGTATTGTTTTATCTATGTTTACGTTTCAAATAAACGTTTTTCATTTGAAAATTTGTTTTTCCCTTTCTTCTACCAAATTATAATATGACTATTAACAATACATAAGCAGTTATATTATTAGAAATAAATTGGTGAAATGACAAAATCAATAATTGATTAAAATAACGAATTCACAGGGCAAGTTCTTGCGCGTTTTGGTTATCGAATTGATAAAATGCCTGCACGGAATTTGAGAAATCTCGATTTGAATCTTGTGGCTATGAGGCCTACTAAATTATTTACAATATTTAAAATATGCTTATTAGCAACAATAATGTTGTTAACTTATAATATATTTAATTGTCATATTACGTACTCCAACTTCAGTCTAACAATGAGACTGTTTCAAGACAGACAAAATATTAATATCGACGCATAGTTTGTTTCAACTGAAAGTAGTAAAAATTCACCAAGACCAAATATAATTGATCGAATATAATCCTCTTCATTCATTTATGTTGAAATTTAAAATCATTTTTTCTTTATGCTATACTTATATTACTTTATGTAATAGCACAACGTAAAGTTTAAACGTACATTTCTTCACTTGGTAAAATTTAAAAAATTACGTACATTTAGTATCATATTTTGACGGATTCAATAATGAAACATATTCCTTGCGAATAATGAATCTTATTCGCAAGGTTTTCATTTGCGCTTGTTTCTTTGGTTTGTATCCGACTGAACTCGTCTACGTATGATGACGTGTGTATAATACTTACATACACATTGAACGACGATATTATATATCCTCCATGGAAGAAAGAAAGAATGTATCAGGTATGCGCGTTGCAGTCACGGTATGTGCTTTTATCCCTGGCCATGACAGAAGCCTGACCTAGTTGCAGGAGCTTGCACTTTGTGTGTGACGTCAGGATGCGCAGGAGACCCATTCACGAGTCTTGGACGAAATAGATCGGGGTAGATATGATCCACCGATGAAATGTCATAGTTCATTCAATGATTCGCTACAGTTTCTCTTTCTCTTGTTCATTCTTTGCGTATCATCATACTGTGTATATCTGTCCTTTCTCTCTTTATATAATAATTAATCTTTATCTGTATAAAAAAAAATACTTTACTTCTCTTTGTAAAAATAGCTCTTTTCTTTAATGTTAAAAATCCAGAAACTATTGTCACGCGCCAATTTTGAGTTGTTCAGATTATTATATGTTCCTAGTATAATTAAAGGATTTTAATTCCCGTGTTCTTTTATTATACTATACCTACATATATATATATATATATATATGTGTGTGTCGTGTGTATTGAAATAAGTCTTATTTTAAGATATGATAATCTGTTGATTAATATGCTCCTTTTATCATTCCGTAAAGATTACAGGATTGATAGATTTAACTTCCTAACAATAATAAGGCTATTTTGTTAGCTAATATTATCATCGTTAAAACCAAAAACAAATGTTATTACAAATAATCCTACAAATAATGGGAAGATACTGACAATGAGCGAAATAATTCAAAACCGATAATAGCTTTCGCGATAATTAATTAATCTAATTCAATTAATATTTCAAAGTGTAGAAAATTAACATGTCCCGAAAACCTCTTACGTTTTTGTAACGAGCTGCGAGGACTTTTTGGTCCCACAAGCAGATGCCTGGAA